TATAGTTACCATATAGAACTGTTCAATGTGTTTAAAAGCATAAGAACAACAGTATGGCTCTTATTTAGTAGTATAAGGCTTTTCTGAACTTCAGAAACAAACCTTTGAGTTCTAATTTAGAATTCCTCAGACAGAGTGATCCTAAACAGCTACAAAACAAACTAAAAGCAAACCAGCCAAAACCTCGACTTCCACCCCTACAGGAAAGATGCCAGTGTGAGTATGGAATGAGGAGTGTCTACAGTTTTAAAAGTGTGCATTTAGACATTCAGAAAACTGAGAGATTAAAGAAATATGTAAAAGGGACTGTTTCCTTTAGTTATCTCCACCCGAGAGAAGACTTTAGTCCTTAATATGTTTAAATTTTTTTTTCCAGTTCTGGGGATTAAACCAAAGGCCTTTACACTGAGCTACACCCCCAGTCCTTTTTGTTCTTATTTTGATTCAGGGTCTCAGTAAATTTCCCTGATTAGGCTTGAACATATAGTCCTCCTGCTTCAGCTTCCTAAAGTGCTGGTATTACAAGTGTGTATCACCATGCCTGGCTCTATGCCTTGCTTTATAAGCTAACTGTATTATCATCTCCTTCCATATTACTACATATAAGTTCTCCTTAATTCTTTTTAATAGTACATTATGTAGGTGAACCATAGTTCACTTATCCAGTTAGTATCCTGATAAATGAATTTTTAATTACTTGAATTTTGGACAGTTACATCCTGAAGAATAGAAAAGAAATATGATATTTAATCATTAAAAAAGAAAAATGAGCATAAGTTTCCTTAATGCCCAAATACAAAGAAATATACTCTTTCACAGATAGGATTAGTGGGCTGGTTAATGTTAAATAAATTGTTTAGAGCCAGGGATTTAGCTCAGTGGTTCCGCCGCCTGCCTTGAAAGCACAAGGTCCCGAGTTTGATCCCCAGTACAAAAAAACAAAATCCAAAACCAAAAACTAATATAAAGTAAATTGTTTAGATGTGATAAATTTTCAGTCTTATGAAAAATATGTATTCTGCAAAAATGGAAAGCAAAGGTTAGATGGAGAAGGGACCATTTCTCCAGGAATGTATGGTAGTTTATGCACACTTTGGATGTGGGAGAGAAAAAGCATCTTTATAAATAAATAAGAAATTATTTAATTTGTGAAGAAAGAGGACAGATCAGTAGATTGTAGAGTTGGAAGGCCTTTTTCTTAATCCTAATTCTCTTCCCCTCTTTTTCTTTACAAATACTGTATCAACTAAGTGTCTGCTGTTAACCAAGCACATTATGATGCTGGTGAATAAGGTAGCATTTCCTTTAGATAAATTTTCTGTCCTCATGGTGATGGGCAGCCAATATAGACAGGATGTGAGCTCTTCTAAGAAAGATTATCATTTTCCCAGCACTTCCCCAAGAATTGGCCATCACAGTAGGCATTCTGTAAAGGCTTGAAGCATCTAAAAGGTGAAAAGACAGGAAAAGCATTGTCCCAATTCCGTGAACGTGATCTGTCCAGACAGAGCAGAGAAAATTAATCATTTCCAGTGATTTCGTGACAAAAACTGATGTGTAACTGCATAAGCAAAGGGATGGAAGTTAAAAGCATTTCCACATTTTGCTTATAGACGTGCAGTACATATGTGCTTCCAGCAGGTCTGTGTATATAAGAAAGGATTCTCTAGGGGTTCGTCTTTATGGAGATGATTTTATTTTTTATTTTTTTTTAACACAGAGTTTGGATTTTTATTGAAATCTCACATCAGATATCAAAATCTGCTTTCTTCAGATAAAAGTGTTCTCTCAGATGTATGGAGATGATGATTAAATTTGAAATTGGGAACCCTGGGCTCATGGTACTGTTTGTTACTCCATTTCTCACAGGTTAAAGGAGCTGGAAGTTCGAAGACTAATGCGTGCGAGAGGCGATGGACCCTGGTTTCAGTATCCAACCAGTGACAAGGCACTTATTGATCATTCTCCAAAATCAACACCTGACAACTAATCATTTATTTCATCAGATACAAAGTATATTCTCTTAAGGGGAAATAAGTTGATAAATATAGTATGTGCTTTTGCTCTGTGATGAATAAAAGAGCTTCTTTCAATGCTTTGTTTCTTAGTTTCTTGTTGGTTCAGATGAAGGTTTTTGATTTTGTGGTTTTGGTTTCTTTTTTTTTAAGGTTTAAAATGAAATAATAAAAACTAGAAAAATCACAATTTGTGAATTCCTTAAGTTTTGGTAGTATTGATAGGCTGGTATTTTATTTGGCAAATGGACCTTAAAGAGGGGAAGTCTTAACTGCATTAACCCTTCAATGCCTAGTGTCCCATTTTTGGAATGCTTATAACAGTGCTGCATAATAAAATTTTTTCTCTTCAAATTCTTGTTCCTTGGATTTTTCTAAACATATGAATTTCATGCAAAAATGCAAAAATGGGTTAAATATTGGGAAGTTGTTTGTACACATGTCTGTATTGGATCACTCAGGAGCTATTCAGGATTTTAAATTACACAAGAAATTTTCAGCCTGCCATGTAAAATGCTAGCACCCTAAATTTTTGGGAATCAAATCTTCAAGTTTATAATATTTTCATGTTTTCTTTTTTAGCCATATATCATTAAAACTATATACACATATACATGCATTTTGCTTAGATTCAGTCTCTAAGATTCTTTAAAGTTGTTTTTTTTTAAACACTGGAGAAGTTTACACAGTAAAATGATTACTGTGAAGATTTCAAAATTTGACCAAAAGTTAAAAATAATGATTGCCATTAGACATTGATCTGCTGAACACTGTGCCTCATACCTGCCTTTTATTTACTGTTTCAAAAATCACCTTACGAGAACCTATTACTCTTGAGTTTTACAGATAAGTGAAACTTGAAGTACTTTATACAGGCACTTAACATTTCCAAAAAAAATTTGGTCTTTTTGCTTCAGTCGTCCAATTTTTCAACCTATCAGTGAATCTAAATTTTAGAAATATGTTCTTAATATGTTCATGAAAGTGAAAATGAATTCAGGTCTCCTAAAATTTGAGCCAGTGAATCTCCATATATATTTGCAGGGCTAGATGGATAAATTCTTTTGCCACCTAAACACAGTGTAAAGGCACAGACCGTTGGTTCAGGGTGTCTTGATTGATTGCCAACTATATGCACTTGACTGCAGCCAAGAGCCTTTGGGATGCTTGCATTTTCTTATTTCCCCAGAAGAGGGCGGCCATGTCCAGCTATTTCTAGATTTTACCTAGTGCTCCCTATGCCGTAATTCAGCCCCAGGCCTCGGAGAAGGACATACTGCTCTAAAACCCCTGCTTATGAAAATCAGTTTTGTAGGAGGGATAAGGAAAACCATAAGAGCCCTTGTGCGTGGTGATAGGCGATGCTAGACCTAGAGATGTTAATGGTCATTAGTTTAGATTTCTTGGGTTGGTGACAGTTGAAGGTTTTACTTTATTTTTCCCTTTCTATTATAAATGAAAGAAGAGGAGGAGCGGGTGAAGGGAGGGCAGGGGTATGGGGAAAAAAATGAGACCCAAGACCTGACATGTAAAGGTACAAGATCCCAATGATGAATGTAACTACTGTATACCTAAGATGTACCAATAAACTCAATGAGAGAAAAAAATAAAACAAAAATAAATGAAAGAAGAACTTAGCATAGAGAAATATTATTTTAATGAACTAAAAGTGCCATTTATCAAGTCCAGCTTGTAGCAGACATGGACTAAGCATTTTGTGCATATCTTGCAATGATACTTTAGTGAAGGGATCACTGTCCTTCAATGGAAACAAAGATTTGAAAGGTTAAAATAAGGAATCTAAAGTTACATCTAGTAAAAATTATACTGTGTGTGTGTGTGTGTGTGTGTGTGTGTGCGCGCGCGCGTGTGTGTGTGCTGGGTATTAAACTCAGGGCTTTGTACATGCTAGGCAAACGCTCTGCAAATGAGCTAAATCACCAGCTGCAAGCCACGTTTTAAAGAAATTTAAGATAAATGAAAGGACAGAGGGCTGCAGATGTAGCTCAGGGGCAGAATACATGCTTAGCATGCTGGAAGCCTTGGGTTCAGTTCCCCTCACAACACAACTTCCAATGGAAATGCTTCATCTGCCACATCTGTCTTCCCAATGCCCCTTTCCCTTGTTCATAACTTCTTTAACAATTCCTTTTTTTTTTTTTTTTTTTTTTTTTTTTTTTTTATGAGACACGATCTACCTATGCAGTTCAGGCTCGGCTTGAACTGACCACATATCCTAGACTGGCCTCAAACTCGCAGTGATCCTTCTGCATCAGATTTCTGAGTGCTGGGATTACAGGGGTGTGCCCACATGCCTGGTACAATTTCACCTTTGACATTTATTTTTCTTTGAATCCATAGGTACATGCCTGTAATACCAGGGAAGGGAAAGCTCTGAGAGCCTGACGCAGGAAAATTGTAGGTTCAAGTCTAGCCTGGGCAACTCAGTGAGATGTCTCAAAATAAAAATATGGATGGGCTAGCCTGGGGATATAGCACAGCTTGAAAGCCCTTGGGTTCTATCCCCAGTAACACACACAAACACCCCAATTATAGCAAAATACTGGCATGCCTTCATAATGGGTTTCATAGAATAAATTCCTAGAAGAGAAATATTTTCTTGAAGAGTATGTCTTTTGATTTTTTACACTGATTGTTTACACTGTTTCCTGAAACTTTGTACCAGCTCACACTCCCATTGGCAGCATAGGATGGCATGAATTTGCTGAAGTCCTGAAGTCTTAGAGCTTCCAAATCTCTTGTCAGCCTGTTGGTAGGATTTTGTGACAGTCTCTTTCAACACTCCCCAAGGTTTTGTAAATAGTGTCACTCTCAAGATAGTATTTCCCACTCATCAAAGACCTTAAATCTTTGTTCAGCCTTCTGGGTTTTGGCAGTTTGACTTTTTATTACAGTGCTTGATGTGCTCATTGAATTGCAACAAAAAATGATAGCACCAACAAAACAAATTCCTGCAGCTAGCAGCCTTTTGCTCTCTGCAAGTATTTTAAAGGTGTCTGATTTCTTTAACACAATAGTATTTTATATTCTGTGCTTGGGAATTCATATATTTGAGATCTTGCAGATCTGTTTCTGTGAGTTGGTTGTTTCTCCTGTTCTCATTCATGCTGACTTGTTTTCTTACATTTTTTACTTTGTTCTGCAATGAGCTTTTGGTTTTCCTTGCAGTTGCTTCTATTTCAGTCCAATGCTGGAGCATTTTACTAGGAGGTTAGTTTCCAGTCAGGTTCTACTTGGCCCCATTGATGAGTGTTGACGCACCATTGTGAGTTCCAGATAGTGAGCAAGAATGTCAAGCATTTTGGAGTTGGAGAAGTTGTCTTTGTCACGTATCTGTTGCACAGCCTGAGGGAGAATATGGGGCCAACCAACATGTCCAGCAGTATAGCTTTTCTGTATTCAACTTGCATGCAGTTTAATAGAAGACACCCCTGACAGGCTTCCAGAGTTGACTCAAGACCCTGGAGCTGAAAGAAGAATGTTTGCACGGGGCTAATCCCATATTCTGTGCTGACTGGCTGCATGGAGCTGTTGCATCAACAGTCACTGCCATTAGCTTGACAAAAAGCGTGTCTCTAATGTCAATGAGTCCTTGGAAAACATGAAGTCTACTTTACTCTGGCTATGAGGCCATAGTTTACCCAAAGCTAGTCTGTTTTCCTCTGACTTTCCATAGCTTTGCATAGTGTATGAATTTATTCTTGCCCATGAAGATCAATGCCTACTCTACATACTACAGGAAACTGTGGGTCTCCTACATTTGCTTGGAGACCACATGTGCTTTAATGACAAAATACATTGAAGTATTTTCCAAAAGTTGGGTGGTTTTTAAGGGGGAAGTGGGCTTCCAGGCTACTCTTTTTTCTCTATCCATCATGTCAGAATCCCAACATTGACATACGGGATCTACACTTGATCTTAGCCAAAAGGCCAAGAAGCAATTTTATTTTGTTTGTTTCTGTTTGGTACTGGGGATCAAACTCAGGTCCTTGCACTTGCAAGGCAGGCGGTGGAACCACTGAGCTAAATCCTCAAGCCTGATACATGAGATCTAAAGATGGTTTCATGCTCACAAGAATACCTGGGGAGAGAAAGTGGATTTTTAAGAATTTCCCATTATAGATCTTGTACTCCTGGAACAATATCACTATTGTAACTACAGAGAAGGAGGTGAATTAATGTCACTTGTAGAACAAGGGGAGTCGACTCAACAGGAAGGAGTGAAAAGAAAAGGAAGAGCCTTAGATTCTTTCAAGGAGATGAGAGAGGAGAGAAAAAGCGGAAGAGAAAGAGAAAGTAGAAGTTAGATATTAATATCATTTTATTTCTATCCATGTGAGGTCAGGGTGTGTGTGTGTGTGTATGTGTGTGTGTGTGCTTGTGTGTGAAAGAGAGAGAGAGGGAAAAGGAGAGGGATAGAAAGGTTGAAGCAAGAGAGGCGGGTCATGCTATATTAAAAACATTGAAAGATATTGTAGATATTGAAAGCGAGGACTGGCAAGAGTAGCCCCCCTGCCCAGAGAAAGCAGAGAGCCTCTTGTGAAGCCCACCTAGGGCTCAGTGTCGCATTTGTTCAACGTAGCGTGGGCACAAACAGTATCTCTGAGGCAAAGATGCAAGAAGAGAGGTTTCCAAGAAATACCTGAACAAAAAGCTTGAAGGGCACACTATGTTCTAGAAAATGGTGGAACAAGAGGCACTAAGTCATATCCTCTTTAAAAGATTGCATTTTAGGGCCTAACAATGGGGTAGGAGAGATTTCCAGGCAGAAAAAGCAAATGACTTATAAGGAGGAAAATATTCAAGCTGGCTTCAAGTATTTTGTATTCTCATTTTTATGAAATTATTTCTTTCTACCCATTCACACACTTTTTTATCTATAGACATACAAAGATAGGTGGCACAAAGTTCATCTTGTGTTAACAATGGTAATTCTGAAAAAAAGGATTTCGGATGATTTGTATGCCTCAATCCACTGTGTCAGTGTTATGTTGTTTCTGTTGTTAAGTCCACGATAATGGATGATTTTAAGAATCATTTCTGTTGGTGTGAACTAGCTTTCCATTCACAGAAACGTTTTTGTGCATATTCTTCAAAAGTAGGAAAAAAGTGAGGTAGCCTAAAAATACTTTTTATTTTTTATTTATTTTATTATTTTTTATTTTTTATTTTTTTGGTTTTTTGAGACAGGGTCTCACTATGTAGTTGAGACTGACCTGGAACTCACTGTGTAGCCCAGGCTGGTCTTGAACTCGCAGCAATCCTTATGCCTCAGCCTCCCAAGTGCTGGGATTACAGGCGTGCGTCACAA